AAAGACAGATGCACCCTTATGTTTATCGCAGCACTATTTACGATAGCCAGGAAATGGAAGCAACCTAAATGTCCATCAGTAGATGAATGGATAAAGAAGATGTGGTACATATCCACAATGGAATATTATTCAGCCATAAGAAGAAAACAAATCCTACCATTTGCAACAACATGGATGGAGCTAGAGGGTATTATGCTCAGTGAAATAAGCCAGGCAGAGAAAGACAAGTACCAAATGATTTCACTCATATGTGGAGTATAAGAGCAAAGACAAGGAACAAAACAGCAGCAGACTCACAGAACCCACGAAGGACTAACAGTTACCAAAGGGAAAGGGACTGGGGAGGATGGGTGGGAAGGGAGGGATAAGGGTGGGAAAAAGAAAGGGCATTACAATTAACATGTATAATGTGGAGGGGTTACAGGGTGGGCTCTACAACACAGAGAAGACAAGTAGTGATTTTACAGCATCTTATTACGCTGATGGACAGTGACTGTGAAGGGGTATGTGGGGGGGACCTGGTGAAGGGGGGAGCCTAGTAAATGTAATGTTCTTCATGTAATTGTAGATTAATGATACCAAAATAAAAATAAATAAAATAAAAAATTGGTGTGAGTAAAGATAAGACTTGCTCTACTTAAACATACCACCTGACACTTTTGGGGTGCTAAATATGGAGAAATATCTCCTTTTGATTGCTACTTCTTGTCTGTTGATGGATTCTGAATTTAAATTCCTAAAACTGGGTGGGAAGATGAAAAAGTAATGTATTGAAATGGGCAAAAATAATTGGAATTGTACTTTTGAAACACTAGAATGAACAAAATTCATGAATAACCGACTGTCACTGTATCTGTGGAAGATTTGTGGCCATTTATCCTTTTGCATATATCTGTCTTCTAAGCATTTCTCCCAAGACAGAACATCAGTATGACCCAAGGACAGTGTCCCCTGGGTGCCCCATAAAGCTCTTCAGCCATTATTCCTGTACAGATGCCTTCTTGAGTATAAAAAGGAAAGAAGAGAAAACCACAATTTTTACCTAGATTAGAGTAAGCTTGCCTTTGCAGTTCCAATGGGTGATGGATTCAAGCCATTAAAATGCCCATAACCATTACTCTTAAAGCATCATCATTCACATTGTTGCTCCAAGGCATATGGTGGCTGGAACCCCAAGGAAAGGGTGCTGCCAGATCACTTTAAGCTATTTTGAGGCTCCCCCACCTCTAGAACTCTCATTGGGATTAAGAACCCTTAGCTGGGAGGAGGTAATGAAATGAATTGGAAATAAAAGAAGGATCAGGGTATCTGTGCATAAAGGCAGCACATGGGTTGTTTGAAGAATCAAGGCTCTAAGGTCAGGAGGATTGGCCAGCATGGCCTTCCTGTTGCCTAGATTTTGAGGGACTCACAAATGCACCTGGGAGACATTTTCACACACTGAGGGTAGGTAGGGGAGAGGAAGTGCTAGCCTGACTCCTGCCAGGAAGGGGGGGAAAAGGAGAGAATGGGAAGGCAGGTGTATGTGGGGAGGTGGCAGTTGAGGTGGCCCCAGTGACAGTTCCATTCATTAGCTCTTCATTTTTAATTTCCCAGTGTTGACTCATTTGAAAACAACCTTTATGGTTTTGTTCCTCCAAATACCATCTCTAATCTGACTTGATATTCTTCATCAAACTGATACGCTTTCAAACGTGACACTCCCTTAGCTTCATTCTAACACAGCATTTATTTGTGCTAAGTGTTTGGGCTAAGTTTTGTATTTTGAATGCATATTAAACAGTCATTAAAATAAAAAATCTTGACTCCTGTCTCAGTGGACTCACTTTCAGGCTCCTTTGCAGTGCACACCCCTGTGGATAAAATGAGAGTTCCTGTGGCCAGGATTCTTACCTGGCCGTGGTTGACTAGCTCACTGCACACCTGTAGGCTATACATGGCTGTTGACTCTATAAAAAGAGCTCCGCCCAGTGCTCTGGGCATGACATGGTGGCAAGGCGGCAAGGCTGCAAGGCTGCAGGAGAGCAGAGCAGAGGATAGAGGCCCAGAGGACAGCTGTGTGGGACAACTGTGAAGAGAGGCCTGGAGGAAGACTATGAGGACAGAGGGACTCAGAGGACAGCTGTGAGGACAGAGGGGCCCAGAGGCAGAGACTGGCTTTCTGCATGCAGACTTGCTCTGAGTGAATGGTATTTTAGTGACTGACCTGCCACCTGGAAATAAAGTTGGATATAACCCTTTCACTCCAAGAACATTTTGCTGTCATTTTCATTGGTCACACTGAATCCATAGCGAACTTGCCATTGGCTAGACAACCCCATACTTTGAAAAGGTACTCTAATATGACCATCCAAAAAACTGCAGAGGATAGAGGCCCAGAGGACAGCTGTGTGGGACAACTGTGAAGAGAGGCCTGGAGGAAGACTATGAGGACAGAGGGACTCAGAGGACAGCTGTGAGGACAGAGGGGCCCAGAGGCAGAGACTGGCTTTCTGCATGCAGACTTGCTCTGAGTGAATGGTATTTTAGTGACTGACCTGCCACCTGGAAATAAAGTTGGATATAACCCTTTCACTCCAAGAACATTTTGCTGTCATTTTCATTGGTCACACTGAATCCATAGCGAACTTGCCATTGGCTAGACAACCCCATACTTTGAAAAGGTACTCTAATATGACCATCCAAAAAACAGGGGCTCAAAGCTACTCAGCACCATAGAAACAATCCAGGATAGCCCAAGGTGGGGAGCTTGGATGTTGGAGAAAAACTTCCCAGAAAAATGCTTCAGTTTCTCCCGGGAGCCCTCAACTCCCAGGCTCAGCCAGAGAGGACAGCTTGAAACTGCTGCCTGGAAATCAGCTTAATGAGAGTTTCCTGGCTTGAGATTGCCCCACCCTAATGAAAACCCTGTAACAGGACCCCTGAGGCTGGCCTCCAATGTTAACTGGCTCAGGTGGTATCAAATAAGAGCCAGGAAAATAGTGGCTGAGAAAGGGGAAGGGGAGATGGCAAGAGGTTGGGTCAGAGCAGGCCAGTCTCTGATAACTTTATCTAAGAGAAAAAGAAAGTGTGAAAATGGGTCTTTTTGTGCTCGAATCACACAGCAAGTCTCCTTAGCTGGATAGCCACTGCATCCCTACTTTTCTCTTCCATTCTTTTCTTTTACTTAAATCGCTTTTATGGTGATCTAAGACCTAGTAGCAGAAAACACAGAAGCAAGAATGATTCTATGGTGGCTAAAATCTCTTCGTGTTAATTTCAGACTCAGATAATTTGCCTGATGATGCCATTTATTTGTGACTCTTTTTCAGCCTGTTCTCCTTGTTTGCTTGCACCTAACACCGGGGTGGCTTGCTTCGTGCTCAATAGAACTAGAACTGTTTCTAAAAGCCCCTGGTCCCCAGATTGTTTTCATCCCTCTACCTTGCTGAGAAAAAAGAACACACCCACACAGTAGCAGATGATGAGAAATGGGTCTTTATTGGATGATTTTTAAAGGCGTTGTCCACTGAGGGCCTTACAGAAGTTATCAGGGCATACCCACCGCAAAAATTCATGAATGATTCGTCTCATTACCTCACTAAAACAACCAGCAAGCTGCAGAGGCATTGTAGGGGGAATTAATAAATTATGGGGAGGTTTGTGAGGGGGTCGCATTCCTGGGGCTTTGCAGGCCTTCCAGCTGTTTGTCTCTATCTCCATAGTCTGGGGCTTTTAAGAATGCACCATTTCCTGGAATTCTGGAACAGAATAGGTGAGAACAAGTCAGTGCAGATTCAATGGCCAGTGAGAGTTTTGAAGAGGAAGGGAAATGAAGCAAGTTGTCAGATGATGAGTGTGGCCCCCTCAAAGGGTCCAGAGGAAGAAACTGTCACTCACTGCAGGTCCAGACAGCCCACAGTGTCCTATCCTCTTGCATAATCTCATTTAACAAACACCTTAGCTTTGCAGTAGAGCCCCTTGTATCAGAACTCGTCAACCTAGCCCTTTCTCTCTGACAATGAATGAATTCAGTATAGTGGCTTATCACAATTTGAGATCATTCAAATTTGGCAATTTAAGACAGAAATGGGAGGTTTTCTTCTATTCTGAAGTTAGGTTTCACATATTTAGGAAACATTTAATAGGGTGGGCTTTTGAACTAACTTTTCTCTTTTGAACCCTAACGCTATCCCCAAAAGTTTATATTATTAAAAATCAGATAATAATGGTAGTAATATGTGGATGCTCTAGATTGAAACTGAAAACTGGGGATTTGCTTTATGTTTATTGGTAAGCTTTGACTATTTGGAAGTCTTTTGTGGTTAGATTTAAATAAATCAATAATCCCTTACCTAAAACTACTTTTTGGAGTTACCTTTAGAAGCTACATGATCTCCTATATAGGAAGTTATAGTGATATAACTTTAAGTAGGTTTTAAAATGAGGCTCTAAAGTAGCAGTTTCTAATTCCAAATTAGTACCACCATAAAGATCCCACAGAAGTTCAGAAGTTAGCAAGTACAAAGTTAAACAGCATGTAAGCAACATGGCAAAATGGGGTGAAAATAATCCTACAGCCATGCCATTATGCTAAAATTTGAATATAGGGCTCTGTACACACAAGATTCCATAAATGGTGGTTCTCTAATATTGTCTACTTGGTATGCTATGTCCAATACAATGTATTTGTTTAAATCCTTGAAAGCTAAGAGGCTTTCCTACTCAAGTCAACAGACTTATTTGTAGAAAACACACTTGAGACTGTCAGTCCTTCCCTATTCAGAGGAACTCCAATCCCTGGGGTAGAAATTACTTACATTAGTTTCAAGGTGCATTAGGGTGTCTTGCAAATAATTGGCCAGACAACTGCTTGTCCCCTAGTAAGGGAAGGATATTTTCTGGTACATAGACAAGGACCAGCTTCTGTGGTTCCTCCTCAGGCATCACACAAAGACTTTACATACATTATTTGCAGCTCCACCTTAGTCCCATTTTGTGGATGACAAGACTGAGGCTCAGCAAGGTTAAGAAAGGGGGGTTTTAACCCACATCTGTATGATCTCACAGCCCAAGCCCCTGGATGCTCTCTGAGCTAGTCTTTTATGCTACATACAGGCATGAACTTACCATCAGCCCCAATTTTTCCATCACCATCATTATCTGCAGCCGCCATCAAGGACTTGGTTTCTGACTCAGTCAGTTCTCTAGCACCACTTTCAAACTTCTGGAGGAAAAACCTACAGGATAATAAAGATGGATGAGAATTTTCTGGAAGCGCCTTTGTGTATTTACCCTTCCTTTTTCTCTTGAAGCAAGTCATCTGTTCCCAGCAAGGGCTAGATACTCAGTCAAGGCAAAAGTCTCCTGCATTGTAAACTAACGGTGGGCATTTGTTTTTAAAAGTCTTTTCAAAGTTTCGTTGATAAGTCCATTTGCCAAAAACGAAACCCTAAAGCTGGTGAATTTCTGCACCTACAGTCTTTGGTGCTCATGTTTAGTGCTTTGTACGGATAGGCGTGGGGCCATCTGACTGTACCCTTCCCTATCCTGAGGCCCTGGCAGGTGACCAGCGTCAAAGCTGGCCATTGAAATACTGAGCAAGTTGGCCCCCACTTCTCCCCAGCCCCACCTAGCATGTTGGCGGGCCCGAGAGAACTTAGGACAAAGCTCACTTAAGCTCTTCTTCATCCAGATATCCACTCTGGTCATTGTCTATGAACCGAAAAACATCCTTCACCTGATTGGCCGACATCTTGGAGAGGCCCGATGTCTGGAAGAATTTTTGGGGTTCAAAAGTATCTGGATCTGAAGAACAGAGAATGGATTATTCTGATATTCATGGGATGGCATTCTGTATTTGGGCCAAGGTGCTGAAAACATAGGTTATTAAAAATATTTTCCATCATATCACTGAGCTACAAGGATGTTCTATTCTAAATTTTTTTTAAAAAGACAAAGAGAGCTGTCGCTGGTCCAAGATTCTGAGGTGGCCAGGACTGGATGGCCTTGTGCTATCATCTCCCATCCTTTTTCCTAGCCCTCCTCCTGGGTTTTGTCCATCTCCCTTCTTTTTCTGACCCCTGTCCTTCTTCCAGGCTGTGTATCCAGGACTCCAGGATCACTGGTCCAATTGGTAAGGAAAATGCAATCATTGGATTCAAACAGGCTACATGGCATCCATGGATTTCTTTTTCCACTTTTAGTAAGTTTCTTTCACTCTACAGAAAAAATGTAGTCCTTTGTTCAGATCTCATATCCTTATCATATAAGTTATTAATAATGGTTTTATTCTCTGACCTCATGAATTCTCAGCAAAGTTCACATTTTAAGTTTTTTGGCTTTGCTGGAAGTGCAAATACATGAACCATACCCGCCTACCTACTTTCCCCCTTACCTTGGCACTCCTGCAGGGCTGCTGCGATGTCATCAGCACTAAGGACATCTGTGATGCTCATTTTCCACCTGTTCACACAGCATAAACAACATGTGGGAATGGCAAACAGGAACTTGCATGTCTGGGGGGACTGTACTCTCTCCTAGGTCCACTGAAACTATTTTTGTTGGGAACATTTAAAATATAACAAATGTGGTATTGTCTCAAGTGATGGGACAGAATATCCAAATGAAAACCAAATACTGAAAAGATCCCAGTCCCTTTGTTTCAGGGTCCTCTCTTGAATAACTCCAAGGATGAAATGAAAAATACAACCTAGAGAATGGTTTAATTTCATTTTCTATATATATTGTGTGTATATATATATATATATAAAATCAATCACTTATATAGGATCTACAAACCATTCAGAAGTTAACCATGTTATAAATGCAAAAGCATTTCCATCCACCAGCCAGAGAAATGCAATGTTGCAATTTCCATGTGGGGAAGAACACAGCTTAGGTTACCTGCAGCCCTTCTGCGGAAGAGATGCTATCTATCCTAAAGGATGGGAATCAGAGACATGAAAAGCCCATCTACCAGAGATCAAAATCCTTCCAGGTGGTAACTCCCTGGGAAAAAGAGAAATCTGAGCCTAGATTGCACCACCCAAATATGAATGCATGTAGGAAAGAAGAGCCTGGGGTCTAGTGGATCCACCAACTACTCACTGTTTTAGATTTTCCCTCAAGAAGAATCAGAGGAAAGAGTCAAAGGAGCAAAACACAACTGTGCTTTTGCTGCCTTACTGACCCATCTTATAAAGGTTGAAAAAGCGATAGTAAGGACCTCTTAGATTTCCTTTTCAGGGATCAAGTGGACCTAGCTCAAATGTCTTGCCTCACTAATTAAACCTTTTTTGTTTCTATTTATCTCTCAAAGGAATGTGGGTGGGAACAGCCAATTTTTAAAAACAAATTTTAACAAACCTTAACTGAATTTTCAATTCTGCAAATGAACTCAGCTGGCAAAGGATAGAGAAAAAAATAGAGAGGCCTGGTAAAAAGCAGCCAGTGGCTGAAGTGAGGTAAGCACACCTGGGTGCTTTGTAAGCAGAAAGGGCCCCCCAGAGGTTAGTGGCTGCCCCTTGAGGCAGGATTGTTGTGGGCCTCTGAAACTTTGGGCATGTGAGGCCAACTCAGCCCAGAGGGGACAGACTCAACGACAGTGTCGGATGGACATGCAGGACTGGTCCACCGGTGGGGTATGGCACCGGTTACAAGGCTTTCCCAAAAAGTCGTTGGTACTTCTCAGCTACGTCTTAAATTGCACACATTAAGAAGGCATAAAGGGGGAAAACAGCAAATAAACCCCCAGCCTACAGCTATTTGCAGAAAAAAGTACGAGGCCAGGACTTGAGAACTCAAAAGTTTGGGGTTTTTTTTTTTGGCTTTCAGCAAACATTTATTGAGTCCCTGTATGGCCAGTGCTATGCTAGACTCTTCTTTTAATTGTGGTAAAAAACACATTACATAAAATTTACCATAATAACCATTTCTAAGTGAACGTAACGTATAGCAACATTAGCTATATGCACATGGTTATAAAACAGATCTCTAGAACCCTGTCATCTTGCAAAACTGAACTCCATACCCACTGAACACAACTCCTATCCCCAAGCCCCCACCATTCTCCCTTCGGTCTCTAGGAATTTTGACTACTTTAGATGCTTTCTATAAGGGGAATCTTGCAGTATTAGTCTTTCTTGGGACTGGCTTATCTCCCTTCACACAATATCTTCAAGGTTCATCCATGTGGTAGCACACAACAGGATTTCCTTCTTTTCTTAAGGCAGAATTCAAGTTTTTTAAAGTCAAAACTGCTGCCATGTTGCAATCAGGAATATTCAGTGGCTTACAAGTAGGCAACTCAGGAGCTCTGGGGAGGAGCCTCAGACTCTTCCCTGGCTGACATACCAGGGTGGCCATCTTCAGTTTGCCCCCAAATATATTTCCCTCCCTCCACGCTGGCATTGTATTTTTGCTAGTGTCATCAGTGAAAAGGTACTCTCAGGAACACCTACAGCACTTCTTAAATTACCAAACCTCAGGCCAGCACCTTTTCTGACTTGCCTGAAACATATGTCCCAATACCTAATACGGTGCCTGACCTGGTTAGGTGCTCAGTAGTTATATGATGGATGGACAAGTAAAAGTAGCAAAAAAGAACTTGAAAACAGGATTATCAACCAGCCTCAACTTAGCCCTTAAAAAGCAATTTCTGAAAATAAGTCTCAAGAATTTAAGTTGCTGACATTAAGTGGCCTTAGAAATTCGCAGAGTCCTTTCTTTCTGTGGGAGGATTTACCATTGTCCATAGAGGTGAAAACATGTTTTTAAAAGAATCTGGCCATTTAAATGAAAATAGCATATGGGTTAAACAGACTGTAGATTTTCATGCTGTTTTTCTGATAGAAAGGAAAGATCACAGAGAACCAGTGAACATGTCTGGATCAACGAGGCAGCCAAGCTTATGACTTGAATTTCATCATGTGCAATCCGGGAGTCAAAATGTTGGTTCAAACAAGAGGACAAATAATGTATGATCCCACTAATATGGGGTCCCTGGAGTAGTCAAAGTCACAGGGACAGAAAGTAGAACAGAGAGTGTCAGGGGCTGGGGAGTGAGTGTTTATTACAGACAGAGTTTCAGTTGGCAAGATGAAAATGTCCTGGGAATGGAGGATGGTGGTAGTTGCATAACAATATGAATGTGCCTAAAGCCACAGAATTGTGCACTTAAAAGTGGTTAAAAAGGTAAATTTTGTGTACGTGTATTTTGCCATGCACACACACACAAAATGTTGATTCGGTGTCTTTGTTATTTTGGCCCCAATTCACAATTGCTCCCAGAAAGAGTGGAAGGAAAATTTGGAAGTAGAAGACCTTACATTGAGCTCAGCTCTGTCCTTTATTAGCTGCACGACTCTGGGCCTCAGTTTCCTCTTGTAGGAAATAGGAATGATGTAGGCACCTGCTTTGTCTACCTCTTGGGGTCCTTTAGAGGGTCAAGGGACTAAATGCATGTCTGCACCTATGGAGAAGTCTCAGAGTCCCCTGTTGAATTCCCACCCTGTCCTGGGGTTGCAAAAGGACTTCATCTTGTGTATCCATTCCACTCAATTGATAGGGACTTCCTAGAGTGGAGGTGGATGCTGGGATCAATTAGCAATGTCTGCAGTGAGGAAGGCTGGTGGTGACAGCAGAGAACTGGGCTGCCCTGCGGGTTGTGTATTTGGACTTTGCTGCTTCCAGTGATCCTGGACTCTCAGATGACGCTTCTGTTTCAGATATGTGATGCTGTCCCCAGTCAATTACCTGTTTCAGTCCAAATCCTCAGTGTGCCTCTTACTCACGCACTTTCTCTGCTCTGAGCCTGCACACTGATCACCTGATGACCCTGTAGCTCTGGGACACCTTTCCCGCCACACTGGCCCAACCCATCTCCTCACCCATTGACCTGTCCCAGGTGTCCTCCATGCTTATACCCAACCCTGGCTGCCTTGTGGCTGGCAATGTCTTGAAGGCAACTGAGGCCCTCTTTTCAATATGTATGGTGTGGTAGATAAGAGCACAGCTGACCCACTTCCATAGTCACTCAGTAGATGTCACCTCCGAGACATTTCTCAACTTCATGTTCTCTCCACGACCCACTGTCCACAACCCACCCCAAGCCACCATCATCTCTCTGGGGAACACCAGTTAGTGGATGCCTAACTGGCCAACTCACATCTACTTGGGCTTCCCTCCAACCTAACCAGTAGGTTCCTAGGGCTATCATACCAAATGCATGGACTCAGTGGCTTAAAACAACAAAAATCTATTGTGTCAAGTTCTGGGTCCAGAAGCCCCAAACAAGGTGACAGCAGAGCCACCCTCTGAAGACTCTAGAAGAGGATCCTTCCTTCCTCTTCAAGCTTCTAGTCTTTGCTGGTGATCCTTGGCTTGTAGCTGCCTCACTCCTGTCTCTGCCTCTGTTACCAAATAGCCATTTTCTCCCTTTGCATTCTCTTAAAAGAACTACAAGAAGAGTCATGTGGGATGAAGCATCCGCTCTACTCCAGTATGACCTCATTTTAACTATTTAATTTGCAAGGACCCTATTACCAAATAAGGTCACATATGGAGGTTTTGGGGGTTAGGACTTCAGTGTTGAGACATAATTCAATCATTAACACCAAGCTCACAGTTCCCCTCACTTCCCACCCTGAACCCACAAGTCTGTCACTGGCTTCCACTTATCTTAGAATAAAGACAAAGTCCTTCCCATGGCCTTGAAGGCCCTGTGTCCTCTGGAAGGATCTGTCTTCTGAGGGCTCCTCTAGCCTTATTCCATACCATCCTCCCACCTGGAGTCCAGCCATGGACCTCAGCCCCTTGAATTACCCCATCCATCCTTCCTCAGCTGTGACCGCTGTACTGTTTTCTTTGCCTGGAACACTCATCCCCCTCTTCCTGCCTTTGCAGTCTCGTACATGGCCTTTCCATCTCTGCTCAGGCATCACTTCCTCTGGGAAGACTTCTCTGACTCCCAGACTAGGTCAGTACCCCTGCCCACCCTACGCTCCCACTTGCCAGCTGGCTGAACCACTGTGAAAACCTCATAGCAAAATCACAGCTTCATGGTCCTATTTGCTGCAATTGCTTAAACAGTGTCTCTGCCCACTGGACAGTAAAACCCATAAGAGCAAGGGCAGGAGCTGTGTTTGCTCAACTCTCAACCCCCCAGTGTGGACATAAAGGGAGACTATCCAAATGGAAACAGGCAAAGGCTATTCATCAGAGCCACAGCCAGAGAAGTGCCACCATTGCTTGTGTTTGGCAGAGACTCAAAGGCAGGCGGGGGAGTGGGAAAGCTTTGTGGTGGAAAAAGAAGGCTCAGTGTGCCCTGAGGAGGCTGCTAGCCTGGGGAAGCTGGAGGCCGGACATCCCAGGGGATTGCACGGAGGGCACATTTGGCTTTTTCCAGCTGCTCCCCAGTTGAAAGCAGGAACAACAGTGAGGGACACTGTCAATTATT